CTTATTGGGTAGCCAGACAACTACACTAGTTCTCTTCTTCATCTCGTGGACAGCGCCAAGGAAAAAAACTATCCCATCGACTGATACCCCTTTCGAAATGCGTCATCCTTCTTGACTATATTCGTAAAAATAACAGTGATGAAAGTGACTCAAACTGTTCCTACTGATGACTTACAAGTAGCTCTGCTACGACATAGCTCCTTCCGTAGTGACAACCTTTAGGGGAAGCTAAAATCGACCGCCCTAGGAGGGAGGGTTGCTATGAGTTGGCTACCAGTCCTGCCCATATCACACAGTTGGCACTTTCATGTGATGACATGTGGATATTTCAACTACGATGGCAAAATTTTCCTCGTAAATTCACAGCTTCATCGCAATCAGCTTTGTGTATGATACCAGTTGTGTCGCAAGCGTGGTTGCTGGGGTGCATTTACTCCGTCAACGTGCAAGCCGATTGTCAGGCTCCGTGGACAGGTTAACATCCACCCGATCAACGACCAGTTTTGGTTGTTTTTTTAACATCTAAATGTGGATTGACCTTACAGACAGCTTATATCGTGTTTTACTTTGGTTTCGACGAACGAACTCCATTGGGTAGCGGCTACACAATAGTTGAAGCAGTCTTTTGTGCTACTTCATTGTCAGGGCTAAAACTGTTATACAAGTTCTGCATGCACCAAAAGATCATCCAAATTATTTTATCTTTTTAGTTGCAGTAAACGCCTTTAAGTGGACAAAACTGATATATTCTCCTCTCCCTCCGTCGAAAGTTACCTAATTTCTCTGGGCTGCTTGAATTGTGTACGGCTTCTGTTTCGGTTAGGTTAATGGACGATAATTTACACCGCGGAGTTACGATTCCTCCTGTGAACCACACCACTGTTCTTCCATAAAATTACGCTGACAGTATTCGCGATTGCTTGGTGGCAAACAGGATGAAACCTTCATTGCTCAGTTACAAGAGAAGTATCGGATTTGTGTAATCCACTCGGCTCTGATGTAACACCGCTTGTATTTGCTTAACTGGTCGTAACGATGCACCATTAGTGCATAACGTGTACTGGGGGCGAGTTGTTCGTATCTGTATGGAATTCTGGACTTATGGAAGGCTCATCAATATTTCCAAGGATATTGTCAGGCAACAAAATTTGTGATAGAATCAATAAGCTCATTGTAGGAGCCTCATGCTTTGTGGGAGTGACTTGCGTTGAGGTTAGGGGAACGATACATCAGCGCAATGGAAATCCATAGTTTTATCAACCCTGTCATTAGTACGCGAATGGTTGTTACTTGGGGAAAGCATTTCTCCAGAGAAGGAACGTGGTGCTTGGGATAGATTATTGCTTCCCAGAAAACCCCTAAAGAGGAATGAATGTACTAAATATTGAGAAATATGGTCCATGACACGCAAGGCTATAGAGTATCGGCGAAATACACCTATTCGCATATCAATGTGGTCTTCACGGGAGACTCAGGTGAATTTCAGCCGAATCTCTTGTTTACAATAGCCTTCTTCAACGGAATGTACTGCACCAGGTCGCCCCAATTTTCAGTTGGTACGATACGACGCAACACACTAATCAATAGATTCCTGAAGACTTCGAAGAGTTTTCGGCAACCATATGGATAGTGTGTTACGTGATAAAGTATCTGTACTTGCGCTAGGGATTCATTTGCGGATAAATAATGTAACGAATCAGGTTAAATTTATTTTGACTACTTTTCATTAAACCTTCGGACTTGTAGTGTATACTCGCTAACGCGACAAAGAAGAACAGTTAGCTGAGGTCGCACTGAAATGATAAATGGAATCTCCCCTCAGGAGAGACAAAAACAACCAATGTGACTTGCAGTGACATAATAAAAAGTTATAATAATTATCCAACACTGTCACCTTACGGTTTTCTTCAGGACACACGTTTTCTCGTCTACTTCTTCATGCTGTTTGACGACCGACCTCACTTAGGAAAAGTAACATTGTCAGCAATAGATTTGCGTAATATCCATTGATTAAGAACCCTATTTTAAATGATTGACGGGTTCTCCAAGTGGGAAGTGAAAATAGAATTTTTCTCCCACCAGTTTATAGGTATTTCATCTGTCTGTCAAGGGTGCAGTGTGTGTTTTTCAATAAATGAAACATTTTCTCCCGCGTGTTAAGTGCTTTCAGTCCGTTTCCCCACTGAACTGAGTGATAGAAGTGGACGGGCTAGGAAAAAGTATGACCTTGTCATTTCATTGGCTTCCAAAAATGCTAAAGTTAGTAAAGCACTTTCAGCTTTCAGAAAAAAACGCATTCACATTTGAAAGGCTGGAGAACACGCTTGTCATCCAAACGGATGGTAAGAGCATCGTTCGTATGCATACCACAGTCGCAGGTGGTTACTGCGACCACATGATAATCAAGCTATAAAGAGACTTGATTTCATACTTTCAAACGCTAAGTGCAACGGTTAGACCAGTTGACTTTAGGAATTCGGTTAGACTGGTCAAAGGACTATCTGTAAAAGCCTAATGAATGTCGATGACAGTTGAAATTTGACACCAGCCTTCTTCAACCCTGGTTTTTCTTACTAAAGAACAGTATGAAAATTTACTTTTCAAAACAGTAGAAAAACTTCAGTTGTGTCTTGGTTACATTTCGGACTAGCATCTGCTTCCAGTACATTACTGCAAAACATGGTCGACATCAAAATCCGGAATTCGGCGAATTGTTGCAACTTTCGCAGTGTATATGGACACATGAGCACTAAAACAGCAAGTCTAGTTTATTAATTACTTCAGGTAACAACGCCTTGAGGCATTTCCGTATGGATCTTTAATCGTACACAAGTGGTTTTCCGTTGGGTGCTTCCATCCGATCCGAGTTAGTGTCATTTTGACGTAATTTCCCGGGTTGGGAGGAAAACATGATACGAGAACACTAAAACTGAATAAGACCGATGGCATAATCGACTAGTTTCATGTGCTCGTCAAATCGTATATACTCTATACCCATAGGATATTCACTATAGTTATATATACATAGTATAACCTGTACATATAACATAACTGCAACATGTGTTATAGTCGTATCCCTCGGTTCTGACAATCTTAAGGTGCGTAGCTGCTCGCCAACCGAAGAAAGCACGAGGATTGAAATAGTTCCAGGTTGCCCAAGCCACTAGGATGGTGCCTCATTCTACAATGACCACAAAAGACATTTGAATTGGCCAACCGAAAGTGGCTACCCTAGAGTTATGGTCAGTGCTGATGTTATGTTTTTCAAAAAGCTGTCAGTCAACCCAGTTGAAAAACAGCCGTGATAGAGCGAAGTATTTACCTTCGTCAGGCAAAACTTTCAATAGCTGGAAAACACCTGATCCAAGCTGCATTTTCTTCTCACCACCTAAAGAATTCACACGAAGCCTATCACCTTTTGAAGTGCCGTTAGTTGGCTCAAATGGCAGGTGCTTCACAATCATGTGCTACGCATTCCAGTCCTAAGCAAGCACCAGATGTGATTTGTTCATGTTCATCTTCGAAGTATTGAGGCATCTGACTGAAATGACCAAAATAACAACTGATCAATCTCGTGTGGACTAGAGGGTAGACAAGTCAGCAAAACACTCTTTGCTCCTCCTGATTTGACTTACTCGCTTTCGAATATATGGGTTGTCAAAAATTTCTTTCAGTGTAACAGGCAAAGACTGTACTAGGGATGTTCATTTTGCTGGTATAAGATGTAGCGGCCGTAGCGACGTTTGCCTCCCAGAAAACTAGTTTAAAAATTCCATGAGGAGAAGTTCACCCTGCATTGCANGGTGAACTCCAACCGTTGCTGATGGGGAGTGATGGGGAATCTTTGTGTTCAAATTCAACTATTTGAAACTATTCTGGAACGAAAACGCATTCCGGACCATTGGGATCAATCAGTTAGTGTACCTGTATTCAAAATGGGACACGAACCACTACGAAGTCTTTTGCCCATCCTAACGCGGTTACTGCCTTCAATAAGACACCGACACTTAAACCCACGCACATGGTCAGGTAAGACTTGACAGCGACTGATCTAAGAGTTCTACAACTAGTGGGATTCGCAATGCCCGCTTTCGCTCCCATTCTGTTCAATTTTGTCATCAAGTTTATTCCCGATTGCAGATTTCATAGGTCCAGGGATTTCGGTAGCGAAATTTTACCATCCAGCTTGTCATTACCAAACAGCTTGTCATTTTAAGGTAACCTGTGCGTATAGTCTAATTTCAGCAGAACTTTTGAAGTGATCCCCAAATCCCAAAGAGCTGTGCTTTTCGGCACCCATAACCCTCCAGATTTTTTGAAAGAGAAACCTGCACTTATTGAAGGCTTTACTTATCTGAACAGCTGTATCAACCTTGACTGTGATATGATAGAAGTTGATACGCGCATTTTCACATCGCATGCGTTGCTCACTGAGTTAGAAATGAATTTCACTGGAGCCGAGGGGTCATGTGTCCAAGGTAACTGGAACAGCACTTTAACTATATGGTTGTGAAAGATGGTACCTACGACTCGATCTTCTCATATGTTTAAAGAATTTTGCTCACTAATGACTTCAGAGCACAGCAGACGTCAGCTGACCTCAACCTGTCAGCACTTGTGCATAAGCAATTATTTGTTGTTGAATTAGAGTAACGAGAGCAGCAAGTGAATCCCATCATGTTAGGATGTTTGGGTCATGTACTACCGCAAACTCTGAACTGTTGTTGAAGAATGACCCAAAGAAACAACGTGCAACGAAGACGGCTATCGTCAAACTGAGTGCTGAGAGGTCTTCGTGCCTTCTTGGTCGGGGTCTGTTTGGTTCCTCTCGCACGTGATTAGATACCTCACTGAACATGGGGTTTAACCTGGCTAAATGGTGAGTAGTCATCACCTCCCTGTTTGACTGCACATCTAACGTTTGTCTCTTGCTTGCTTTTCACAGAAGACCTTGGGTCAGTCTCATTATTAGCATGCCTGACGAGATGCTCAGTTATATTCACCTCAATGGAGTTCCAAGCTATAGACACGCTGTTCTCGATCAGGCCGTTTTTACTTTTGTTTGCCCCTCCCCCTTTCCTTCTACTCTTTATCAATTAATTCCTCCTCAGGTTGTAGGAGGAAGTGCTATTATTTTCACCAAATGAAACTACATGGGTAAGGTATAAAACGCGGTCAGAAAATAAAGCAAAGAAATA